ACTGCCTGGTCGGGGCCTCCCGCAGAGCTTGCTGGAGTTCGTTTGCCTTCTTTCCCAAGGGTCTCTGGTGACGAGCCTGTGTGTGCCGCATGGCATGGCGGTGCTGTGGGCCCTCGCTCTGGCCTCGGCTGCAGGTCTGGCCGCTGCCTACCCACCGAACATCGTGCTGATCTTTGCTGATGACCTGGGCTACGGGGACCTGGGCTCCTACGGCCACCCCACATCCACCACCCCCAACCTGGACCAGCTGGCCACCGCCGGGCTGCGGTTCACGGACTTCTACGTGCCAGTGTCTCTGTGCACACCCTCCCGGTGAGCAAGGGGGCAGGGAGCCCTCACCCCGTGCCCACCCTGACCACCCAGCTCTTCCCGGTTTCCTCTGGTCTGCAGTGAGGGTCATAGTTCCCTACTGTCTCCCGGGTGCACCTCTGTCTTCGTTTCTCTCTGTCTCACCGACTGTGACTGGCTCTGCAGGGCTGCCCTCCTGACCGGCCGACTCCCAGTTCGGTCGGGCCTGTACCCTGGCGTTCTGGAGCCTGGCTCCCGAGGGGGCCTGCCCCTGGAGGAGGTGACCCTGGCCGAGATCCTGGCTGACCAAGGCTACCTCACAGGGATGGCTGGCAAGTGGCATCTTGGGGTGGGGCCTGAGGGGACCTTTCTGCCCCCCCACCAGGGCTTCCATCGATTCTTGGGCATCCCATACTCCCATGACCAGGTAGGAACAGCCAGAGCCCTCAGCTGCCCTCTATCCACTTCCTCCTACTCCCCTTCCCTTGACCTCCCAGCTCCACCGCACAGCCTAGACCAGCGGTTCTCAACCTATGGGCCGTGACCCCTTTGGGGGTCGAATGACCCTTTCACAGGTGTCACCTAAGACCATTGGAAAACACATATATAATTACATATTGTTTTTGTGATTAATCACTATGCTTTAATTATGTTCAATTTGCAACAATAAAATTGGGGGTCACCACCACATGAGGAACTGTATTAAAAGGTCGCGGCGTGAGGAAGGTTGAGAACAGCTGACCTAGACCCTAAATGGAGCCCTTTCCCCAGGGCCCTTGCCAGAACCTGACCTGCTTCCCACCGGCCACCCCCTGCCATGGAATCTGTGACCAGGGCCTGGTCCCTGTGCCGCTGTTAGCCAACCTGTCTGTGGAGGCGCAGCCCCCCTGGCTGCCTGGACTTGAGGCCCGCTACGTGGCTTTCGCACATGACCTCATGGTCGATGCCCATCGCCAGGGCCGCCCGTTCTTTCTGTACTACGCCTCCCACGTGAGTAACCCTGGCCCTATGTCCCGGGCTGCCCTGCCCCCTGCCCAATGCTAACTCCAGGCTCTGCCCCCAGCATACCCACTACCCCCAGTTCAGTGGGCAGAACTTCGCCGGGCACTCAGGCCGCGGGCCATTCGGAGACTCCCTGATGGAGCTGGACTCAGCCGTGGGAGCCCTGATGACAGCCGTGGGGGACCTGGGGCTGCTTAAAGACACACTGGTCATCTTCACCGCAGACAACGGGTAGGCCCCAGGGAGGGCCTATGCAGGTGATTTCTCACAGGCGTGAGCCTGAGGTCTCCCCATCTTGACCACAGACATAGTGGGATACGGGGGGGCGGGGGGGTCCTCAGAAAATCCTGGCCACATTATGGTGACTTCCAGGCCACAATCCATGAAGCTGGTCCTGGTAGGACAGGGAGGAGACAGGCACCCGCTGGCCATTTCTGGGCACGTAACTAAAATGTCTGGGGCGAGTCAGAGACACTGATGACCACTTGTGTGTCCCAGACCGGAGACGATGCGGATGTCCCGCGGCGGCTGCTCTGGCCCACTGCGATGTGGAAAGGGAACCACCTTTGAGGGGGGTGTCCGAGAACCTGCCTTGGCCTTCTGGCCAGGCCACATCACTCCCGGTCAGTCTTCAGGTCCTCTCCTCATGCAACCCTGGCCCCACCTCCCCAACCTGATGGTGAATTGAGCGACCACACAGCCCTCTGTCCCCAGGTGTGACCCACGAGTTGGCCAGCTCCCTGGACCTACTGCCCACCCTGGCAGCCCTGGCTGGGGCCCCACTGCCCAACGTCACCTTGGATGGCTTTGACCTCAGCCCCCTGCTGCTGGGCAAAGGCAAGGTAGGGCCAGCAACCCCACGCCCCAGCCCCGGAGTGACTGTGAGCAGGTCACCTCTTTGGGTGGCATCCAAGTGCTGCTGCTGAGAGGGCATAGCCAGGACCTAACGCAGGCTGATCGGCGTTGGGGCTCTGCCCCTGCCCCTGACTTTGCCCCCAGAGCCCCCGGCAGACTATGTTCTTCTACCCAACCTTCCCCGATGAGATCCGTGGGGTCTTTGCTGTGCGGAGCGGGAAGTACAAGGCCCATTTCTTCACCCAGGGTAATGTCCTCCCCTGACCCCGCTGACCCCTCGGGCCCCAGAGCCTGCCTCCACCTCTGTGCACAGATGTGTCTCCCACCCCCCCCAGGCTCCGCCCACAGTGACACCACAGCAGACCCTGCCTGCCACGCCTCCAGCCCTCTGACTGCCCATGAGCCCCCATTGCTCTTTGACCTATCTGAGGACCCTGGTGAGAACTACAACCTTGTGGGGAGTGGGGCCGAGGTCACCCCCCAGGCCCTGGAGGCGATGAAACAGCTTCAGCTGCTCAAGGCCCAGTTTGATGCTAGCATGACCTTCAGCCCCAGCCAGATGGCCCGGGGCGAGGACCCTGCCCTGCAGATGTGCTGCCAGCCCAGCTGCAGCCCCTGGCCCACCTGCTGCCACTGCCCAGGGCCCCTGCGCTGAGGGCACCCGTCCAGGCCCGCCCCCCGTGGCTGAGGCTCAGGCATGGACATGTTTCTACCTGATACCCCAATAACACCAGGTAATCCTTGCAGGCGTGATGATTCCTCTAGTCCTTGTCGTGGCCAGAGGTAGGTGCTATTCTGCTTGTGCACAAGTGAGGTAGAGAGATCCGGCCACATGCCTGAGGTCATGGCCAGTGAGGCTGGGCTGGGGTCGGCTCCATGGCATCCTGGCTCCTGTGATTGCAGGCCCCTTCACGGGCGCTGCACTGAGCACCTGTGTGGCCAGGAACGGGGTGGGGAGGGTTGAGGGCACCGCAGACAGGAGACCCAGCAGGTGCCGAGTGCCCAGAGAGCCGGGTTCTCCTGGAGGCCCAGGGACAGACCCCCTTGGCTCTTACCAGAAACCTGCCTGAGATGCGTGATGAGCAGCACATTCCAGGTGGGGACAAAGGGGCGGGGAGCCTGTCAGGCTCAAGGTAGATGCATGAGCAGCTTCTGAGATACCATGACCCTGGCCCACCTCTGCCCCCCAGAGCGCTACATTCCGGCCTGTGCACACGTTTCCTGTCCCCTGGCTTCCCCTCTCACCCAGTGTAAGCCATCCACCCGGCAAAGTGCTCTTAAAAATAGGTCAGGTTTGGTTCCATCCCTGCTCAGAACATCAGGCTCAGAATAAAACCCAGGCTCCTTAGAGTGGCCGCCGTGCCCACTGAGGCTGCCCTCACCCCTCAGCCTTCCTGTCCCCTCATCGTAGGCTCTGCAGGGAGGACTCCCTGACTGCCTGCCTGTGTCCACACAGTGGCATGAAGCCCTCGTGGGTTCCCACGTGTGTGCTGATAGCAGGGGCGCATGTGCTCCCAGGACACCGGCAGGCCCCACGTACTCCCTCAGTGTGGGCTGGGTGAGAAGAGTGCCATCTGGGTGCTCGGGGCCCCAGCGGGCCCCCTCCCCCGGGCAGACCAGACAGCCCTCCCCTCACTGCCCGGCCCCGCCTTTTCCATGTGGGCAGAAGCCCTGAACCGTGGAGGGACGGCCTCTCCCTGTCCCAGGAGGGCAGCAGCCACTCAGTCCCGTGCCTGCTCCGGGGTGGCATGAGGAGAGTCCTGATCCAGAAGGTCAGGGGAAGTCTGCTGGGATCCCTGAGTCCTCTGGGGGCTGTGCGCTCCGTTCCACAGCGTCACTGGGCCTGACCAGACTTTGTGTAGCTCCCAAGCCCCTGTCTCTGGCCATCCACCGCCAGAGCTCACAGTTTAAGAAAATAAACCCTGCTGCTCACGCCACTGCTGGTGAGTTGTCTGTTACTCGCGGTCGAAGGCAGTCTTCCTGGCGTGACCTGTGGTCGGGATGTGCGGGGGCACCTGTGCACATGCAGGTGGGCTCCTGAGTGGGCCTGCGGTGTCAGACCTCTGTTCTCCAGGTGACTCCCCCACCACCCATGGTCTGGTTTGGGGGCTGCCCTGACTGTGCCCCAACTCCTTCTGTGTGGGGGCCGCCCCCTACAGGGTGGTAGTTTCCTCGGGGACCCCTGCAGCCACTGACATCGGCATCAGGAGGGCCACCTGCACTGTGGTCTGAGCGGAGGCACTGGTCCTTGGGGGCTGGGCATGCACCCCCGACGCCTGCAGCTTCTCCCCCAGCGGGGCCTACATTTCAGGCCGAGGACAGAGGCCCTGAAGCAGGGCCGCCCTCTGAGCACCAGGTCCCAAGGGTGAGCACACAGTTAGAGCTAACTGAATGCTCACACCTGCACGACCTGCAGGCCTCTCCCCTAGGCCTGTGGCTTCCCTGTGTTAGTTCCCACGTTTATTCACCACCCAGGGCCATGCTGAGTGCTGGGGCACAGGTCACCAGAGGGGACCCATTCCCGCTCCATGGCACCACCATCCCACAGAGAAGAGGAGCATCGACCCTGGGGTCAAAGACCCGCGTGGATTTTCAGTGGCAGAAGCCTGCGGTGCTGTGGGTGGGGGCGTGGAACATGCCTGGGAAGGGGTCTGAGGGAACCTGAGTGCTTCCAATGTTCCCCATCTTTTTTAAAAAATATATTTTATTGATTTTTTACAGAGAGGATGGGAGAGGAACAGAGAGTCAGAAACATCGATGAGAGAGAAACATCGATCAGCCGCCTCCTGCACATCCCCCACCGGGGATGTGCCCGCAACCCAGGTACATGCCCTTTGACCGGAATCGAACCTGGGACCTTTCAGTCCGCAGGCCAATGCTCTATCCACTGAGCCAAACCGGTTTCGGCCAATGTTCCCCATCTTGATTGGGGGTGTGGACATGTGTGTGAAGCAATCGAGCTACACACTTAAGATGTGTGTGCACTTTATGATGTCGTGTATTTTGTACTTTAATAGAAATAAACATTTAACGTGATGAATGCCACCGAGGAAGAGGACTTGTCCCTACAAGAGTAATCACTGCCCTAACCGGTGTGGCTCAGTGGATAGAGCATTGGTCTGCGGACGGGAAGGTCCCAGGTTCGATTCCGGTCAAGGGCATGTACCTTGGTTGCGGGCACATCCCCAGTGGGGGATGTGCAGGAGGCAGCTAATCGATGTTTCTCTCTCATCGATGTTTCTAGCTCTGTCCCTCTCTCTTCCTCTCTGTGGAAAATCAATAAAATATATATTTTTTAAAAAGAGTAATCATTGGTGGGGGAAGGTAACTGAACCAGAAAGGAGGCTCCCCTGTCTGCTAAGACTGTCCCCGAGTTCAAGCCACATCTGCACCCAGGGTGGGAGAGGACGGTGGTCCTCCCGCCCTCCCATTGCCCGGGGGCTTTGCCTGGATGCTCTTGGGAGCAGAAACGTGTGCTTGTTTCTCAGCTGCATTCGTGTGATGGCCCTCCTCCTGCAGGCTCTCGTGTGCACACACGGTATGTGCCACACGAGCACACACTTTTATACTTATCGTAGCCCCAGATGCTGCCATAATGTCCACTAGCCCTGCCCTGTCTTCTTTGCTGTTGATTTTAAAGTCAGCCCCTTTGTCCTCTCCCCAGGCCAGAACCTCCTTGGGCCCCATGTCCTCTGGAAGGAGCTGAGTGGGAACAGACAGACAGACAGACATGTTGCCTCATCCTGGCTGGTTTGGTTGTGGATAGAGCGTAGGCTGAAGGGTTCAGGTTTAATTCTGGTCAAGGGCACAGGCCCAGGTTGTGAGCTTGATCCCCAGTAGGGGGCGTGCTGGAGGCAGCCGATCAATGGTTCTCTATCATCATTGATGTTTTTCTCTCTCTCCCTCTCCCTTCCTCTCTGAAATCAATAAAGAAATATTTAAAAAACAACAACAGCCCTCGTCAGATAGGGTGTCAGTCTGTGGACCGAAGGGTCCCAGTTCAGTTCCAGTCAAGGGCAGGCTCCTCAGTTGCAGACGCCTCCCTGGCCAGGGCCCTGGTCGGGGCTCGTGTGGGAGGCAACCAATCGATATGTTTCTGTCTCTCCCTCTCTTCCGCTCTCCCTGGAAATCAATGGGAAACATCCTTAGGCGAGGATGAAACAACAACAATAAAAAAGATGTTGCCTCTGTGGGTCCCCTCAGGCGAGGACCCAAGACAGGATCCCACCCCCCTCCCTGCTGACTCCTGGCCTCGCCTCTCTCGCAAGTGACCAGAAGGGGGAGCAAGAGGGGCCGTTTCCATGGGATATTTCATTTCGCCTCTTCTCCGAATGTTTTTAATTACAAAATTAGTGTCTGCTCGTTAGAGCGCCCAGATAATGCCTGCATCTCAGTCAGACGCAAGCAACGTAGCCTGTGTGCCCACACCACCTCCATGTCTACACGAATCATACGTGTTCAACTTGGCTCCAATCTGCCTTTCCGTGGCCGATGAGTCCTGTCACCACGCTAGCCCACGGTCTGGGGCAGGAGCAGCAGTAACAGAGGGGACAGCCCCTCCTTTGTGTGAAGATCCTCCACAGGGCGGTCACAACTGTGGGGCCCAAGGTCTGCTCCCCCCAGAAAGGAGAGACCCCAGGGGGAAAGGGTTGGGGCTGTTACCTGAGCAGACAGGCAGTCAGGATACTGCTGGAGAGAGCAGTTGGGGGGCAGGGGGCGCAGGGTTCCATAGCAAGAGCAGTAACAATTTGTCATCACTTTGCAAACACTCAGCAACAAGGAAGGAGCAGCCAATTTGATGCTGAGGGTCCAGAGCCTGCTGTCCCCGGAAAGCACCAATTCCTTGTTAGGTCTCCCCAAAAAGGAACTTACTGGGAAGGTGTTGGGAACTCCCAGAGGGGGAAGAAGGCAAGCCCGGGGCACCTCAGAGGTGGGGCAGGTGACTGGACACCCTTCCCTGGAGGTCACTTCTGGGAGGAGGGGGCTGTAGACCCAACAGGAATTGGGTGCTCCCTGGGGATGGGCAGGCTCCGGACACAGCCTCTCGTGCGGTCGCGACAATAGAATGGTAACTGGTGCAGAAGAACATTGTACACTAACCCGATCCCAGCAAGGGGAGGGGAGGGCAATGAGACACAAACCTGGCAGCCAGGGGCAGGATGCCGAGTGTTGTGCAGAGGACGGGCGGGCAGCGGGGGGTGCTGCTTCCTGGGTCCTCCTGCTCCTACCCTGCCCCCCTCTGAGGACATGTCCCCCCGGGGAGGAGCCTGCTGACCTCAGTCCCTGAGAGTGGGCTCGTGGGGGGAGGGGCCAGGGAAGCCCTTTCTGTAGAAGCTGAAGGGCACCGTGAGAAATGGTCAGCTTTTGTCTTCCTGTTCTCTGTGCAGAATTTTTAAATACCAATTTTAGGGTCTAAGCAGGCTGCTGCCCTCTCCCACACACTCACAAGCGTGCACACACACTCGTTATGCGCACAATCATGATGCACACACACACACACACACACACACACACACACACACACGACCTGAGCCCTGCGGTTCCCGGCACACCCCCTCCTCAGCCCGCACTCCAGTGCCGGTGCCCAGCACTGTCTTTCCAGCCAATTGAGTGTATCAGGGAAAATCCCCAGGGGCCCAGTGTGGCACCCCAGGGACCCCTGGCATGATCTCAGAGAGCACTGGTGGGTGAAGCTTCTCCTGATTCCGTCACCCAGGGGTCTGGGTACCCACTGCCATGGGCAGCACCTGGGCCCCCAGCCCATTATGTGTCCCCCAGAAACAGACAGGGTCACACCAAGCAGAGAGTTTATTGAGGTGCTGGACTGCGGGGAGTTTGCAGCGGCAAAGCAGACGCTGGTGTGGCGGGGCACGGGGCAGGGCACCCTTCTCTGAGCAAAGTCTGGGGCTTGGGATGAGCCTCAAGAACTACTAGCAACCCCAAGGCCCTTCTGGGGACCCCCTCCCTGCTTCCCCCTGAGCTCCGCATGGGGCAGTATGGGGGTCCCTCTCTTTGTCCCTGTAGTCAGGGAAGGGGTGACCCCTGGAGATTCGCTATAAAAATTAAAATTCCTCTTAACTCACTGGGGAAGGGCAGGAGGGACTACCTGGGAGCCCGACGCCACAGCCACCTAGCGCCTTGCCTTCCTCCACACCCTCCCAGCTCTGGCCCAGAGTAGAGGGCAGAGGGCCGAGTCTGCAGGCACGGGGCAGAGACAGACAGAGGAAGGAGGCACACAGAGAGGAAGAAGATCAGAGGGAAAGCGGGGGACAGACCCCTGTGGAGTGAGCAAGGAGAGCCCCCGAGACCCCAACCAGTCCTTGCCAAAGCCGGCGGCCTCTGAGGTACCCCGCCTCGTGGCACCTGGCGCAGAGTGTGGGCGGCTACTCCAGGTAGATGTCCTCTGTGGGGCAGGCGTACTCCAGGTGCTCCTGGTAGTACTCCAGGAAGGCGCGGCTGGGGAGACAGTGCCGGCCACGCCATCAGGGCCGCCCGCAGCTTCCCTCCCACCGCCTGGGCCTGCCCATCCCGAGGGGTCACTCTTCAGTCATCCTGGTCACTACAGGCTTTACCCCCATTCCCACCCATCCTCCCACCCAGGCACTGTGCCTGTACCTTCCCACTCCCAGGATCCCCCAGCTCCCGCTTGAGGTTCCCACCCACCTCTACTGCTTCTCTTCTGAACTTCCCTTTCCCTTTCTGCCCAGACCGCACCCCCACCCCTTCCTCTGTCCCCAAATCTCAGCTCCGGGCCCATCTCCCCAGCAGCACTCCTGAACCTGGTTGGCCCCCGGCTGGTCTCACCCTAACCCCTCCAGCCCCACTCACCCCACGCTCTGGGCCACAGGCCTCATCGACTCCTGGGAGACAAAGACGTGGCAGGCAAAGCGGCTGAGCAGAGGGTGTTTCGTGATGAAGCCGAAGTAGCTAGAGGGGCAGCGTGGGGCCGTCAGAGTGGGGCCGTCACCTCGGCCCCCAGTGATCAGGCCCGAGGGCTCGGGCAGAGGGTGGGGACAGGAGAAATGTGGGGGTCACACGACTGAAGGATGCAAAGGCTCCTTCAGGGCCCAGCCCCAGTGCAGGCACCTCAGGGAGTGAGGGTATTAACTTCTCCTCCTCAGGGACGTCCAGCTGCCACTTCCTTCTGGGAGCCCGTGCTCTGGCTCCACCCGGAGCCAGCCCTGGACCACAGACCACAGCGAGGCCTCGCCCCTGCCTCCGGATGCATCTCAGCCGGATCACTCCTGGCGTGTGTCACCTGACACCCTGAGCCTGGGGTCCTGCACGCCCACAGCTGCTCTCTGAGCTCTAACGTGAGGCCGGACAGTGGCCCCCTCCTAGCAACACCCTCTTCCTGGAGAACCTTGCACCTGACTGTGTTCATCGCGCCCCCGCCTGACTCTGCTTCATTTCTGCCTGTCCTCTCACCCAAGACATCGGTGAAAATCACTCCAGAGCGTCCCACAGCCAGAGACTCGAGACCCCCCACTGTGGCCAATCGATCCACGTTGATTGAACTGGGGTCTGTGGTTCCTCCAGACGGGAACCTGTGGCAGCATCACAGCTGGTTGTCCATGAGCACATGGCAGCCTTGTCTCAGAGGCCCTGGTCAAAATCTCATACAGCCCTGGCCGGTGTGGCTCAGTGGACAGTGTCGGCCTGCGGACTGAGGAGTCCCAGGTTCAATTCCGGTCAATGGAAAAATATCCTCAGGTGAGGATTAACAACAACAACAAAATCTCATTTATAGTCGCCAACACCCAGATGCTGCTTACCAAGCACCGGGCACCATTCTAAGCACTTGAGATTATTCACTCCCGGGATCCTCACGGCAGCCCTATGAGATGAGGCAGCTACGGCACAGAGAGGGTGGAAAACTTGCCGAGGATACACAGCCAGCCGTGATCTCCAAGGCCTCATCCAAGCACAACGGGCTGCACAGGCTTGTTCTGCCACCAACCTCACCATGAGGCAAGCTAACCTGTCGGCAAATGTGACTTCCTAACTGTGTCAGCTCTGGGCCAGGCTGAGTCTCTCCTCCCCCACTGCCTCTACATCTGGATCCAGAACCACTGGTCTGACTGCCCTTTTCTCAAGGACTCGAACCTGGTCTCTTTCTAGCCTGGAGGCCCCAGCTGGGCAGCCAGTTTCTCTCTGTTGAGAAATAAGGGTGTTCTTGTTCCCCTGTGGTTGGTGCTGTCCTCGGCCCCCATCCACATGTCTGGTCTGAGCCCAGGCACTCTCTCCAGCCCTCCACTCCTCAGAGCAACCTCCACACGGTGGACCCCACCACACCTTCTCTGTCCTCAGTGGACGCAGCCAGACTGGCTCTGACCAGCTGACGGTTGGCCTCAGCACCTGTTGCCAGCCCCGCCCCAGCAACGTGTCTTTCCTCCAGCAGCCTGCATCCTTGTGAGCCCCTGGTGGCCTGTCTCTCTGGTTACCTCCTCTCATCTCCTTCCTCTAGGACATGGGGACCCAGTGGGCAGCAGTCAGGCTGGGCAGGAAACCTGCACCCTCACCCCCGCTGGGGACAATGCTGGCACAGTCCCTCCCCTTTCACGCCTGACACTTCTTGCTCTGCCTGGCTGTCTCGTCCCCTCATGCCGCAGTCGTCCACCTGCTCTGAACCGAGACCTTCCCTCAGGTCTCTCCCACACCCCAGACCCACGTGACCCTGGCTGCCTCCGCCTCCCTGCATCTGCGGATGAGCATGGTGCCTCCAGGCTGCCAGCCCTTGACCTGGCAAGTGGTTCCTATCAGCCCTTCACCCAGACAGCACATCTGCGGCTACCTCCCATCAACCCGGGTCCTGCCAGTTCCACCTCCCCAGTGCCCCCAAGACACAACACCTGGATGACCTCAGCAGCTACCTGGCCCACACCTGGGTCCAGCCACTCTGCACAGCAGCCAGAGCCAGTTTGTCAACCCGACTGTGTCAATCCCCTGTGGCCGGTGGGATCGAGTACAAGCTCCTTGGCATGGCCAGAAAGGCGCAGGTACCCCTGTGTCCCTCCAGCCCCCACCCCCCCAGCTACTCCCTGAGAACCCCACTGCCCTTGCCCGCACCTGGGCTCAGCCGCCTCCCTGGAAGACCCCTGTCACCATCAGACGTGCCTTCCTAGCATGCAGAGTGGTCTTTAGTCACCTCCTGAACCCCAAACCCCACCACCTCTCTGCAGGTCTGCTCATGGGAGCCCCACACAGACGTTCCCCCAGACCCCACGAGGCTTCCAGCACCCACTCATCTGTGTGCCTGTCTGTCTGCACCCGGACCAGATGGGAGCCTGTCTGACCTGTGTCTCCCAGGCCCGGGGGCAGCCCTCGGGGTTGGTGGGTGAGGGGAGGGCCGAGGCTCTCACCAGCTGTTGCGAGGGTGGCAGCCGCAGAAGGAGATGTTCTTCATCTGGAAGAAGTGGCTGCAGTGCTGGAACTGGAGCCGAGGGCAGAGGCCGGTTAGACGGGCGTCGCCCAGAGCCTCTCCGGCCGGACGTCCCTGTCAGACCCGCCCGCCTCCCTGTGCCTCGGCCCCCGACCCCACCTCAGGTCCACCGCTCAGACTCAGCTTGACCCCCCGAAGAGAAATCTCGAGGTCACAGGAGGCAGGGGGGCGCAGGTGGACAGTCAGTTTCCGGGCAGTGGCGATCTGGGGGAGAAGCCAGAGGAGAAGGGTCCCAGGGCTCCCATCACGGGAACACCTTCGTTCGGGTTGCAGGGTCTCCGGCTGATTCTGGAGCACGTGGGCCAGGGTCCTGGCCGTTTCTCAGTCTTGGCTCCACCAGTCACCTCTCCGCACTCAGCGCCGCCCCCCCCCTCCTTCCTTCCTGCCCTGCAGCCAGGACCACGCCTCCCCCTGCAGCCAGGACCACGCCTCCCCGCCCAGCCTCCCTGCCTGTCCCCGTGGCCTGACTGGGCGTCGCAGGGACAGGACTGTCCTGCTCAACCACAGGACCAGCAGATGAGCTGCTGGTCACTAACTGCCCACGGAGTCCATGGCGAGTGAGCAAATGACCCTCGGGAAGGCTCAGTGAGAGCTGGTCTGGATCTTCAGACAAGAAAAAGAGGATGGGCTACAGGAAGGTGGAGGCCCCACGGAACCTGCCCAGAGACACCAAGGTGATGAGGGACAGCTGTGAGCTGGGCAGGAGCTGCCCCCTGAGGCCCCTCTAACCCTCTGGGGAGGTCTCGTCCCTCTGGGGGCTCGGGGGCCCCACTCACACTGACCTTCTGCATGGCTGCACACAGAATGCCGTTGCCCTGGTGACAGGGCACCTCCACGGAGCCCAGGAACTGCACGTCGAAGCGTTCCACCCAGCAGGGGCTCCGCTTGCTCCCTGGGGGGTCACAAGGGGCCCAAGTCAGGGGAGTTGAGGGTCTGAGGGGACAAGATGCTCCTTGGAGACAGGCCTCACCCATCAAGTCCTTGGCAGGGCCGGGCACCGCGTGGGCATAGAAGGCAGGGAAGACCCCGCGCTCCCCTGTGCGCATGTTGAAGCCGCGGAACCAGAAGTCGTCCTCCTCCGCCTCCACCAGCACCGGGTCGTCCACGTCCAGCTCCAGCTCATCAGGGTGGCGAGGGATGAACCTGCAGGCCAGGGCGGGGGGGTCAGGCGGGTCAGGGGGAGGGGGAGGCGGACTGTGGGCCGGTGTCCACCACGTCCCATCGCGTCTGTCGGATGACGACAGAGGCTGTACCTGAAGACAGCCCGATGGGTTTGCTCTCTCTCCTCCCCGTTCACCAGACAGGAAAAGAGGCCAAAGGACTCGGTGCCTGAGGAAGAGACGGAGGCGGCTGCTCGGAAGGGGCGGCAAGCACTTCCGGGCCTGGCCAGGTTCCCCTCCCAGACGCTTGGTCCTGAGTCAGGGAGGGAGGCAGAGCCCGCCCACCCCTCCCCAGCCCATCAGGGATCTGAGGGAAACCCAAGGCCTTTTCCTGGGCTTCCAGCCCCCACCCCTGCTGGACATCCCTGTCAGACCCCCAGCCTCCCCACCCCTCGGCCCCTACACCCCACCTCGGTCCACCCGCCAAAGAGAATTCTCAGGCCCTGGGCCCTCCCGGGACCCCTGGGACCTGGAGCCACCCCCTCCCCCTCCACTCACTGGAGGACCGCGAGGTGCTGTTGACAAAGACGTTGAGGAACTTTTTGGAGAAGGTGAGGTC